AGGGACATTCAAACTCATAAGTTGAAAAAAAGTCATTCCAAAATACGAAAATGATCAAAAGGCAAACAGCAGTATACAAGCACAACATATAAAATTGTATTCGCTTACAAATTTTTCAACTTTATGTTTCCAATTTAACATCGTTAGTTTGCTAAATTCTGATAGATATTTTTGTTTAAAGAATTAAAAAAAAATGTTTTGAATGTCATTACCAAAAATGATGATTCCATTGTATACTCAAGTGACGGACTACCCTTTCTGAAAAAAAAAACCATATATAGAAATAAGATATGGTATGAGTGCCAAGGAGACAACTCTCCATTCAAGTCACAATGTGTAAAAAGTAACAATTATAGGTCAAAGTACGGCCTTCAACACGGCTCACACCGAACAGCAAGCTATAACGGGCCCCAAAACGACAGTATAAAACAATTCAAACAGTAAAACCAACGGTCTTATCTATATAAAAAACGAGAAACGATAAACACATATGAACCACACCAACAAACGACAACCACTGAATAACAGACTCCTGACTTAGAACAGGTGCATACAAGTGTATACATTTATGATGGTTTGGGCTGTTTTCTGCTCTTTAGTCGGGTTATTGTCTCTTTGATACATTTACCGTTCCCATCTTTTCTAACAATGAGGCAATGTGATATGGATGTTGAAGAAAGAACTACCCATTAATTTTTATAGTGCAAAGGGTAAACTTGTAAACAATAACAGGCATTTTGCGTTTAATCATGGTATTATCAGGTTTCCTCGACTTTTGTATTTTATTGAACGCTTGGTAACTATCTCCCCTTTTTTACAAAGTTTGTTTTTCTGTCGGAGAAATTACCTTAAAAATGTGATGATTATTCTTTGCATCTAAATAAAACAGGAGATGAAGCAGCCGATCTTTTAACCCAAATCGCATAATACAAAGATTATATATAAAGCTAAACAAGCAGTAATCAATATTAGAGATTAGATAGTTATACTTTATAATATAGCAAGCTCTAAACCGTCCCGAATATAAAGAAGTTGTGAATAGATAAAACAGCCGTCAACTACTAATTTCCTTTTTATAAAAATAAGGAGACGTGTTATGATTGCCAATGAGACAACGGTAGCAAGTCAATTCGTACCTTGACCATTTCGTACCCGAAATCATCATTTCGTACCAAACAATTGCAGAGGAATTAAATACAGATTACCTTACAAACTTCAGGTTCTGCATACAAGTTATACACCCCCTTCTTTCCTTTCCCTCTTTCCAGACGGGCTAAATCAAAGCGGATAATTTAAATTATTGAACCACAGCTAAGCGTACATGTTCATATAAGGATTTCTTAATGATTGTTTTGAAGGTTACTGAACGCCTAGAAATGTCAATGCATTCATAATCAGGGTCAGGGCAATCTATGATTTCTCGTCGGTTATTGGATACAATATTTTCGGACAATATTTGTAAATTTAATTTAAAACTAACTTACATATTTCAAAGAAGATATATATTGAATATTGTCCTATATATTATTGACGTCCAACAGCAAATATTACAAGCGTATAAAAAACGATAGCATGTTAACGAGAAATGGTATAACACTATGATGTGTACTACACTGAAGCCTTAATATGATTTTAAACGTAAAAGCCCAAAGTCCCAGTCCGCATGAGCATATCACCAAACTCAGACACGTAGTATTTTTTTGTAAATTCCATATCGATTAGTCTTGTTCCATTGCCTGAATGCTGCATGATTAGCGGAGAAACAGCGAATTTCAATTTTAATTTTGTGTTTGTTTGACCAAAATGGGAACGAAAACACAAATAATGGACATAGTATGTTTTAACTCGATGATCATAGAGCAAAATACGTATTTCCTAAGGATCCAATAAACAAAAACTGAAAAGGTGGCATGTCAAAAGAGGAAACAAAACACGTAAGATGTTTTAATATTGGATACTAATTGCAAACCAAAGTATGTACTTGCTTATTTAAAATGTGAATCGTCCTGAACATGCCTGAAATAGTTGCTACTGGACGTAAAATTTTAAACAATCATCAGTCGATGTGTGGAGCTATTGAGGTCGTTTCCTATTTTATTAAGAGTGCAATGTTTGGTTGCTTTCATACATTTACCCAACATCTCCCTTTTTCTTTTCTTTTATGACACATGGATGATAACAATTATAGCAGCCACGCAAATCATGTTGATCTTTATCAGGCTTCTATTAAATCTATCTTGTGAAATAAGCAGACCTTATATATGGTCGTAAATGAATTCAAATCTATGTCAACATGGGTATTTATAAATTCAGTTAGATTTATAATTGTTTATGTCATTTTGGTGGATAAAAAGGGAAAACAAACTTTTATTAGTATACTACTAGTATATCTTAGACTAGCTTACAATATCCATCGTATAATAATGTCGTAAATGGCAAAAATCAATAATGGTATGTTACTGCTTACAGTTGAATATTTTCAAATCGAACTATTCGTAATGGGTTCACTGCATTCAAAAAAAATATGCAATAAGTAAAGTAAAAAAATGCGTCATTCAAATTATCGAGAACTCAGTTTGTTGATATACATTTGTATGGAGTTATACGCAAGTCCGTTGCTACAGTAAGATATACTGATCCATGGAGGTTTATTACTGAAAAAAAAGCAATATATTGTATAGCTTTCGTGATTTTTCTGTTTCAGTCTTCGGTATCTAGCAAATAGTTCAGGTAAAAGAAAAAAAAAACACTTTAATTTCAGGACTCAAATGTATGCACATCTATGTGTATCTCCCGTCTCTATATAACGTCTAAAGAGCGTGGCATTCTCGCAGCATGAAGAATTAGATCAACACACCACTGTTACTGGACGTAGATGTGTTTATGAAAGTCAAATGTATAATATGTTATGGCTGTCAGACGATTAGAGTCCACTTGACCATGTAGGAATGTTTATATGAAAATACTTTTTAAAAGAAAACAAACAAACTAACAAATATAAATGCATAATTATAACATTTACATATTAACACATTATTATTTTCTTTAATTTGTTCTTAATCATTACAATAGTACATACAATGTAAGTGTTAAAAATTCTGTGTAAGACTAGGGCGTTTATTAGGGTGATCTAAGGACATGTCAAGATTAATCCTAAGTCAGATTAAAGAAAGATATGTCCTAAATTTGTCTTGGAATTGAATACAATTCCTCTATGTTTATTGACTACTCCCATTAGAGTTTAAACTTCTGTTTTGAATAAAATTGAATTTGAATTAACCCCTATTTTACTCACGACATGCTGATTCAAAGAATATGTGTATAGAAGTTATGAAAACGATTGAATCAAAGGTCATAAAGTTTTACACATTAAGTAAGGTACGGTTCTTTTTTTACATCTTTATAGTTTAGTTTCTTATTTAATGGCTAATTTGTAAACAAGCATTGTTAAAGAAAGGACTTGCAGTGGATACACAATTTCCCATGCATTTACTCCACATCAGTGCTTTTTAAACATTCCTAAGGTTGACTTTTCGGTGTTTATCCAAAACATGCATAAAAATGACATTGATTTCATAAACGACAATAAACAAAATTTCATAAAAAAGTCCCATTTTGTCTTTCAGAAACAAAATGATAAATTATATTTGGTTACAAGAGTACTGCGATGCAATGCAATGCAATATTAAAATTGTCTTCATCGCCAAGCACGATAGTTAGCACTGAATTGAATTTTATTCAGTGGATACATTGTATATGTACAATTATTGCATGAAATTTAAAGTGTAATTAATAGACAAATATGAAAATAAGGAGATGTGGTATGATTGCCAATGAGACAACTATCCACCTAAGTGCAAATGAACTGGATGTAAGAAATTATATGCAACCGCACGACATTCAACAATGAGAAAAGCCGACACCGTATAGTTGGCTATGAAATGCCCCGACATGAAAAAATATGAATGATTCAATAAGGAAAACTAACGGCCTTATTTGTAACCAAACAATTTACGAAAAACAAATATGACAGACATGAACTAAGGACAACAACTGAACTTCAGGCTCCTGACTTAGGACAGGCACTTAAAGAATGTGGCGGGGTTAAACATGTTTATGAGCACTCAACCATTCCCATAACCTAGGACAGTGGTGTTACAGCACAATATAAGAACTATAAAAGTCAGTTGAAAATGACTCAACTCATCAGATCGATACAAAACAGAAAAAACATCAAACAAAAACGCATACTGGATGTGGCAGGGTATTTATACATCCGTAACATCAAAGTCCAATAAGCTTTAACATCTGTCTGATTTTGACCGTTGTGACTAAAATGAATACAGGGGAAATTAGACCAAGCCCGGATAAAGGAGAAGGGAAGTCGTATATTTTATTTTTGGCGCATATGATACTACATGTATGTAATTTTATAACAGGTGACGCAAATGTAGCATCGGAGAACAAAAGTTGTTGCGCAAAAGGATGCATTTTTGGCGCAAACGGATTTTTCCCTTTGTTATTGTATTATTTGAATGCATTTCGATAGGTACGTTCGACATCAAAAGTCAACTAATCACAAACCGTGGTACATTTTTTGTACTTCACCAAAGCACCATTAACAAACTGAGGAATTGCAATAGAAAACACCGCGATATCTCAAAATAAATGATAAAAACAAAAAACAAAAACGAATATAATTGAATCGGTACATGTATACTGAGAGCTTCTTTTGGTAAATTTGTAGATTTAGCATTTGCTTTATCCAAAAGATTTTGGAAAATTTCAGTATACTGTAATGTTTACTGTTACATAGTTTTATGAGACAACATATTTAAAAACAATACTTTCTGTTTATTAATTTATTGTAAGAATAAGAGATGATTTTAGTATATAATTATTACCATAAAGACACTGCAAAAAGTGTCCTTTGAATATTTCCTTAAATATATTTTTTGACAGAAATAAGAATAAAACAATGTATCTTCAACGTGTCTTACCTTTACATGTACTATCTGTTGTTGAAATTATTCCTGTCTTATTAGTTCCTTTTCCATCGTAACGTTTTTCCAGTTGTATACAGGTGAAGTATTCTCGCAGAAAAAAATGTAAGAAATAATAAAATTAGCAAAGCAAGTTCTGTATCCTGAATTTATAATGAAAACCGTTTCCAAGCATGCACATTTATCTGGACCTTTGACGGAGACGTGTAACCAGAAGCAATCATTTAGGAAATGAGAAAATGTTTAAACCTATGATGAAATTTTACATTTGGCGAATTTTCATTGGCTATTTATTTAAGATCAAAATTATCGGAAGTTGTTCATTGGGTGTGTTGGTGCACAAAATGTAAAAAGGCGGGCCCACCACTTCATTATGGAGACATGACAACATGACGAATTTTATTTAGCGTTAGTTCCTTGGAGTGAATGCTAGTCAATCTGTAAAACTGTGCAATGGCTGAATCAGAGACGGAGGATCCAATTTGTGAGTTTTCATTTGTGTGTTTCATTACGTTGTTTTTCCCCCTCAATTGATATTATTTTTGAAAATTGCTTTCTCTTTCAAACATGCTACTATATGATGATTTCGTCTGGTTAGTCTGACAAAGTGATTAAAATGTGTCAAAACAAATTAAACAAAATGGCGTCCGATAATAAGGATATTATGAGATTTAGTAGAAGAGCCTCACCATTTTCAGATTCTGAAAATCTTCTCGTTCGTTTAGAGGCTTTAAGGCAAATGAAAATATTTAAAATATATTGTTTATACTCGATCGAACGTTATGATAATCGATCTTTTGAAAAAAAAAAACATCAGTTGCAGAATAATAAAAAATTACGCACTTTTTATGAAAATATATGATTTATTTGTACTCGCTACGACACAAGAGAAAAACCCTTACAAGCCTCGCTCTCGATTTTGTAACTCCCCTTTTTTTACAGTTTTTACAAATACATTTGGCATTTTCCTTCAATGCACACATATATAGTATATTGGTCGACGTAGTTGATTTTGAGAAGATTCGGTTCTAACTGTGTGGATATTAAGTAGAATACAGAAAAACAATAAAAAATTACATGATGTTGTATACTATAAATGATTCTCGTTTTAAAAGAAAGAAGATGTACCTTTACCTACAATGACACCGAAATCCAAAATACAAGTAATCGAGACACGTGAATTTATAGATCAACACATATACACTACATTCTGTGTTTAAGAGGAAGTTTTTTTTAAACTAAAAAATTTCTGAAAATAATATTTTCATCTTTTATAGGCCATTGTTTGTAAAGGTGATACATTTTTACTCTCTTGGTATGCACACAGGGAAATAATTATCTTAATTTGATAGCAGGAAAAGTAAATTTAGGAATTTTGGTAGATTAAAGTTGAAAGGTTGTATGTTTTTTTGCTATGAATGATTCGCACTTTTTAATTTACTTCACTATGAGTAACTTGAAATATATGAACATGTATGTCTTGTACATGTATGTAGAAAAACTTTGATGGTGACCACTATTAAAGTACTTTTGTGTAAATAGCCTACTTTTACGATGAATCTATATTTAGTTTAGAGAAAAGCATGGGAAATAGATTAGCTGTTAACCACGTACAAGTACCTTAATAAATTTTTAAAACTGGGGGTACAAAAATATTATTATATATAATAATGAAGTTGAAAGAAATGCCTCTTAAATGTCCTTATTCTATTTATTGCCTTAAGCCCTGGTCACAACGAACCCACGAAACATCGCACGATATTTTGAGCATCGTGGCACTGTCGTGTGTCGTGGGACGAAAATTGGACATGCACCTTTTTTGCTCTACGATTTTTTGTCGTGTCACTGTCTGGTGGCTGTCGTGAGAGTGTCTTATCACAGTCGTGCGACTGTCGTCCGATAAGCACATTGTCGTGGGTACCAACATAAACCATTTTAATAAAACAATCGTACGACTGTTGCACGACTGTCGTACGACAATCCTACGACTGTCACAACACACTCGTGATACAGTCGCACGATTGTCTCACGAATACCAAATTTCGTACGATGCTCGCACAACATTGATTGTCTGTCGTACGACAGTGGTACGTTCGTCGTGCAACATATTTTTGTTTTATTTAGAAGAATACAATTCGGCGGGAATGTTTGGAAAAACATACCGTCTGCCGTTTAAAAGAGGATGGCTATTCCACCAGAACGATTACGCTTGGCCCTGTTGAATAGGCGCCTTGTCGGACTCCAACAAGAGCAAAATATGGTCATGTTAGCGTTGCTTCGAGCCCGTGAACAGTATAGGAACCAGCGAAACGCCCGACGTAGGTGGGTTAGGCCATGGATCGAACGGCGCCTGATGTTTGGGCAGTATAGTATACACTGATGCAAGAGTTGGAGCGGGAATCTGCCGGTGATTTCGTTGGATTCATGCGGATGGAGCCTGGCATGTTTCAAGACAGTGGAACGACAGTCGTACGACAATGGCATGACAGTGACACGACAGTAACACGCTCATCCCATGACATGAAAACCTGAAAAATAGCCCCAAACAACCCACGATTGTCGTACGACTGTCGCACGACCGACTTGCGACTTACCTACGACGGTACAATTACATTTTTTTTTCTCTGTCGTGCACCCATCGTGGACATGTCGTAGCTGATGTGACCACTCGAAATATTTTTTTGCTATTTTGCACGACATTGCCACGACAACTATTTTACAGATCTTCCACGACAAAAAATCGTACGATCTGTTGTGACCGGGGCTTTAAATAGAAGGTAGAATTTTATTTGAGTCACGACTGAGAAATACATGATAAAAAGGTATAATAATGACACTATTATACACGTATGGGTTTTGTCTTGTATCAATCCTAAATCCCCATCTTAGTTAAATGATACGCAGTCTATGGAAAACCGACAGACGTTTGTCCTGTGAAATACCTCCCTGTTTTAAAAAGGAAAAACAATTATATACCGACAAAACTTTTTTTGTACTTACGATAACCGTCTACGATTTTCCAACAATGCATCTTAATTGTGTAAAAAAAAATATCGCTACTCTACACATAAAAAGTATTTCTCGATTCGCACTTTCAATAGACTGATACTGGAAATGATATAAAAACCACCTCATGATATTTATTTATTTACTTTAGTTGTATCGGGAAAAAACGGAAAACTAACGTTCAGTGGTAAAGGAACAGTTGAAGGTGGTCCAACTGGTGTAAAAATTGAAGTTAGTGAAATTGGGTATGTGTATTTTTGTTGTTTTAAAGGTTCAAAATGTAGCAGGGTTAAACATTTTGCAAATAATGTCAATGATATGAATCCAGACTAGGATCGAAAAAAAAGAGTGATTAGGTCTTCCTTTTTAAAAAGAACTATACGAGTTATCACCGTGAACACCAATTGTTTTTCTGACAATGTGAGAAAATTTATACTCCATCTATAGTTGAAATAGCTGTGACTGTGCATTACACATATTCCGGTCGATAGAGACCAGCTAATTTAACCATCAACCTTTTTACATACAATGAATCATATATTAATTAATTGCTGTTTAATAACCAGCGGCAAATATTAGATACATTTTCAGACGACTATGTGTGCAAATGAAACCTGCTTTGCTTTGAACGACGCGCTATGTTATATTATAAGGTGATGTGCTTGATTACAAGGTAACGGTCCGGAGGGAGACACACTGTATCATCCTATAAAGACGGATTTTTTTTCGGATTCGGAGCCAACCAGTCATCGATCCTACTAATTGATGTCGCTGCATACACTCAGAAACAACCAATAACAATTATAAAGTCTTTGTTTTTTTTAACTATGATCTGGGTCCGACAATGACCTGCACTCTAGGCAAGCACACAACCACGAGACTACATAGGACGTTTGCCCCTAAAATATGTTAAGCTAGGACTTAGCTTTCGCGTATAGTGTAGCCAAAATTGTATTTCTTATTTTCATAAGTTCAAAATAATCATTGATATGAATAGTTTTTTTTACAACTAAATGAACATTTCTAGACAAAACGAATCATTACAAATACAATGCTGTTTTTATTGAGTGTTTTTTTTTCTCTCTCTCAAAGACATATACATGTAACCCACGTCTCTTTTTGACAATAAAAAGTTAAAAGAAAAACCTGTTTAACAATAATTGAGTTTTCCACTAGTACTTGTCCTATAAAAAGACGGATGGGATCTTGTCGACGTGTATTGAAAGAGACTAAAAAGAAATGCATATTCAGCAAAAAAAAAATTCAAAAACTGTATTTACTTCAAAATACATTTTTCAAACCGAGTCCAATAACTCTTATACTACACAATTTGAAGGTTACTTAAAGGATTCAATTTTCTTTCTAATAGGTGTTATTTTTTGTATTATTTTGTTAAAATCAATAAATCGTTAGTTCCAACTAATAATTATACAATAAGGTTTATGTTTAAATTCGAATGTGATTACATTATTGAACACTTATCTTATATAAATCAAAAGAGATGATCGGACGGACGATATTCTGGTCAGTGCAATGAGCTGAATATAATCGGATATTGTTAGATTGGACGTCAAAGACCAACTAAGTAGTCCATGACTGCAATGCACTCTTACAAGCATTCCATAGAAATACAAATACATGCTGTCATGTTATAAGTCATGGTCTTTTACCAAGTCTCTATTATGATATATCTTATAAAATATGATTGTAATAGCTCTCAAACCTCCGTGGAGTGCAGTATATAGCGTGCATCTTTCATTAATTTTTTTAACTATATATTAACAGATTAAATTACAAAAGTTTTCAAAACAGATAACACAATTCAGAACTACAATATTTACAATAACTAAAGTTATGTAATTATATATTACCAACAGAATTTAGCAAGATAATTGCTCTTAATTACTATAGATCATGCACTAGAACGTTACCGTATCGTCGTTCTCGTTAGCCTGCTTTATATATTCAGCAACACAGTGTGCAACGTATACGTGGCGAAGCTTTAGAAAACTGTCAGTGTCGATATTGTCTGTTGTAACATGCTTACCAAAAAGAATGCAATATGACTGTTCATCGTCGTATGAATAAAGTTCAACAAATAACTTTAATGGAATTTTTTTTCAATTATTAACTCCCATCATACATTTCTGATTGATTGAGATCCGCTACAGCTACACCAGGCATGTACTTATACGGCTAAGAACTGCCTGTTACGTAGCTTGGAAGTGCTCCCGCACATTTAAAACGAACATTTGATTGTACCCATTATAATTTATACCGATACCCCTGTTGACTAAGCACTATGATTGATGGTCAAACTATTTAATAAGAAAATTTGATAACAATATATATAAATTTACGTAGAAGTGTTACCAACTATCAGCAACAGTTCAGGTTATGGAAATTAAACCAGAAAAAGACAACACCAGTTTTAAGTTATCTATAAAATAGACGAAATTAAGATTTCATTTCAAATCCATAAATGTTAAAATCTTTTCGGAACGCGTTGCTGCATATGGCAAATTTAAGATAAGGACACTATTCTTGATTTATCAAAACTAATTGCGTTTTTTAGAACAAGGAAATTGACAAAATAATTGTTTATTGCTTCAATCTATGTACATTAGATACTGTCGTCTCATACGCCACTAAGATATGATAAGACTACATGCATATCTAATACATATTCTTATAAATTCGTTTATATGAAGCCGAAAGCACTTTTCCTCTGACAAACACTGAAATTATACTCAACATCGCCACAAGTATCATTAGGAAATTATAAAAAATCGGTTTGAAAACTGTCCAGTTTAATAAGGGCTGAGTAAAATGGCCTCCGAATGGTTTAATTTAGAATTAAAGCCAATGACCCCACAACTTGTCCAAACTAATTATGGTGAAAAGTAAAATCACAAAAATACTAACCCCGAGGAAAATCAAAAACAGAAATGATACAGCGTATTAAACAATCTTCAGCTCTGAAAGCACTATTTGATATAACTATTATTGATAATTGGAAAAACTACTGACAATACATTACTTTACGGGCTGTCTGTTGGTACGAAATGTCGGTACCGAATATGGACAGTCAAGTGGTGAATATAATATGTACAACAGACACCTTTTCTCTTTTTTTAAGGCAAGGGGTTGGACTTCTTATTTTCAAAGACAAAATCTGTAGCCCTACCCTTTGAAATATGTTAATGCATATTTTTTAAAACATATACTTGCGCAGTTAATTAGCATGATTCAGTGTTTTTGGACATTTTTTACACAGTTGGCGCCAAACTGTCATTGAAATGTTTGTGACGTTAAGTTCTTTAGCAACAGAAAATCTACGACATACCCAATTCCAAATTTTCCGAAAAGTTTCTAATTTTTCTAATTACAAGCTTTAAAAAAAAACTATAATTAATTACTTGTATAATTACAAGCTTTTTACTAAAGCTACTTATTCAAAAAGCTATTGCTTTCCAATTACCTACGATGCAATATTATCCATACATGCATTAAACGGAAGTACTCAGTATAATTTTTAGCGAATATCTTGAAGGATATTTTGTTATCAGCCGCCAAATTACCATTCTAGATATGTATGTGGGGGCCGGGGGGGGGGGGGGGGGGACTTTATGTTATACATACATGTAACTACATGCCTATGAATTAAATATTGCTTTGTAGGTGGTGCAAGTATATATTCCTATTTACTAAGCACTATTTTTATATTCCAGAACGACATTGGAATTTAAAACCGACTTTGAAGGTCAGACACATTATAAATCTGGAACACCAATTGAAGAATACAAAAGCAACACATATGAATTCATTCGAGGGAGAGGAAATCCAGAGGTAAAAAAAGATAAAATTCACTTTTCTATAAAACCAATAACTGCTACAGCATGTTTAAAATGTATAATACCTCTAAGTTGAAATTAAATGTTTGTTTACCTTAAGAAAATATAGACAACTATTTTTGCATTTGACACTATAATGGTTTAATCGAATCATATACATGAGTGTTATTAAAATATATACAATCAACAACACACATACCTTCATGATCTTCTTGTTACATTAGACAAATATTACGTATTTATAACGTAAGAGAGGTACATCTGTCACGATTTCACAATTGTGATGTCATCTTTGTAATTGGCAAAAAAAAAACGTTAAGCATGCATATGTTAATGATACAATCATTGTATCTTATTTAACACTTCTTGAAAAGATTGGAGAGAACGACAAAATTCATACATATCATAATACATAACACCGATGTCGGTTCGCAAAAATCATGTTTAAAAATAAATACCCTAAGTACCCTTACAACCAAAACGGTTGCTATTTTTTGAACTATGAAAATGGATAACATTTATGCATAGTGTGAAATAACATTCTATCGTAGAAAATATAAAGCAAGCGAGGAGTCAGTTGTCGATCGAAGACCGTATGCATATTCACCTGTATAATAGATTATAAAATGTAAAAAAAACAATATGCATAATAAGAACAAACACATAAAGACTGGTTTGCTTTCGTGATTTTAAAATTACATAAACATCATTGATGCAGCACATGATTGCAGGAATGAAGTGACAAAATATGTTGCTAGCCGTGTTTAACAAAATGGGTCATCTGAGATTTAACTCAAATTTTGACATGTCCATTTACCAGATGCTTCTCCTAAGCTTTTAAACTGCTATGCTTAAAATTATTTTTTATTTATAGGTAAATCTCAGGGAAGAAGGATACAGTTACATCACATTTAGTCTAACTAAGATTAAGAAGTGAAATGCTGTGCAACAACTAAATAATCGTAGAAAGTTTGAAGTGAATTCACAAACACCATATATGTTTTATAGATTGTCACAGAGTTGTATAATGAATATATATTAGCGATTAAAACGCTCCATCTTTGCTATTCTTTACATTTAGATTAATTTAAACTGTCTGCGATTTACTGTAAGTTACTTTTCTAATTAATGCTTTCAAAGGTCAATTAAATAATAATAAAAAAAAAAAGAAATGAGCAATAAGGTGGAAATTGAAAAGTTACCATATATATTTTTCTTTTCTTCTAAACTACATTAATGAACAAGGAGTTCAAATTTCACATTTCACGAGTTACTAAGGCAACAAACCAATACAATCATTGTATACTTTGTAAAATCTCTTGATTTTTCTTGTTTAACATCATCCTTTAAGTATTAATTAGAATGGAAAAATGTGTTTGCACCCAAGAAACAACTATAGATTTAAGGATTTTATGTCAATAGTTATATATAATAAAACTTTTCTTAAAAATTTTTGTTGGTCCTGTGTTGCGCACGATATTTTCACAACGGAAATCATAATAGAGAACAGCCTCGATTCTGAACTTTTCTTCGTTTTCATGCATATTATAACGTTATTGTGATTTCATAGCATTATAAATTTTATTATATTAAAACCAACGGCCTAATTTATAACCATACAAGTAAGAAAAAATATGACGCACATGAACCAACGACAACCACTGATTAACAAGCTTCATATATAGCTAGGTGTAACAACGATCAACCATTCCCCCAAAACACTTAAACAATGTGTTCCCATGTTCGCCAATATCGAAGTAGTACAAAGCTCCCTCTCCGGACGTTAAAGAACCCCTACAACTATTTGATACGGGTTTATTAGTAAACCTGTTGGAAGGTCGAATGTCCACCCGTTTCCGTCTTGCTATCATTTTAAAATAAGAGTAAAAATTATCGTCCTTCGTCGTAGTCTACTTACCTAACATAACCTACATATTTCAGTAATTGAACAATTGTTGATGTGTTCTCGTCCAGAATATGCGTGAAATACTTGCCCCTGAATGTTTAGCAGACTTACGTCTTTCAGTCACATTGTTGATATGTTCTTGTCCTGACTATCATGAAATACTTGCCACTGAATGTTTAGCAGACTTACGTCTTACAATCACATTGCTAATATGATCTTGTCCTGAATATCATGAAATACTTGCAACTGAATGTTTAGCACACTTACGTCTTTCAGTCACATTGTTGATTTGTTCTTGTCCCGACTTTCATGAAATAATTGCCACTGAATTTCTAGCGGACTTACGTCTTTCAGTCACATTGTTGATTTGTTCTTGTCCTGACTATCATGAAATACTTGCCACTGAATATTTAGTAGACTTACGTCATACAATCACATTGCTAACATGTTCTTGTCCTAAATGTCATGACATACTTGCCACTGATTGTTTAGGAGACTTACGTCTTTCAAACACATTGTTGATAGCTTGTTGTCCTGAATATCATGAAATACTTGCTACTGAATGTTTAGCGGACTTACATCTATCAATAAAATTGTTGATTTGTTCTCGTCCTGCATAGGCGCGAATTACTTGTACTTGCCACTTAATGTTTAGCAGACGTAAACCTATCGATCACATTGGTGATGTATTCTCGTCCTGCATAGACATGAACTACAAAGTCATGTACTTGCCACTTAATGATTAGCAGACGTAAACCTATCGATCACATTGGTAATGTGTTCTCGTCCTGCCTAGGCGTGAACTACATGGACTTGCCACTTCATGTTTAGCAGACTTAAATTAATCACATTTTTAATATGATTTTGTCCTGAATATTGGTGAAATACTCCCCACTGAATGTTTAGTAGACTTAAATCTATCAATTGTAGATGTGTTCTCGTGTTGATTTTCGATTTCAACTGATAAATTGTACCTTTCGAAAATTATGCCTGTATAAAAAAAAACTGAAACAAGCAGCAATAGCGATAGTCAGATGAATGTTCAATTAAAACAATAATAAGAAGATGTGGTATGATTGTCAATGAGACAACTCTCTACCAGAGACCAAATGACGTATAAGTTAACCCTGACTTCAAATCGTGATGGTTCTAGAGATGCACCAGTTCAAGTGAATTTTAAGTTGATGAGAATCGCATCAAAAATGACCGTGAAAATGCATAGGTACCGAAACGTATAGTATCCACAACTGAGTTATGATAACTTTTGATTAAATAGATAAAGCTTGAAAATATAAGGAATTTAAAAAAATATTCTAACAAGGTTTGCAAGCTAAACAAGCTGTAACATGTGATTCTGATAAAACTAGATGCTCTCGTTTTGGGATCGTTAAGTTGGTTAGTCATAATAATAGATGTCTAACAAAATACTGTGTACACATTTGGTTTTCAACATGCTGCGTTTGTATCATACTACATCGTCCCTCATAGGATTAACAACAAAACAGACCCTGTATTTATGTTTAAATTTGTTTATAAGGATCTGACCACAATCCCTCCTTATTTCTGTGCTGGTTAGTATTACATCATGCATACGCAGCCAATGACGTTCCTGCCCACAGATTTAAAGGTGCGTACTATTACGTCAAAGCTAATGATCCCAAAAGGTTTTAAAAACAGAAAGAAAAACGGCATATTGTTAGATCCGTGTAAGCAGAGCTTAGCCATAAGATATGTATAGTAATCAAACTCTCTCGTCCTATAAAAATCACAGCAATGCACTGTTTATAATTTTATTAATCCAAAAGGGTATCGAGACTACATTGTACACTATGTCTTTAATGTCTATCTTTATATCTCCCGTATTAGATAAAATCAATTGTTAATATGTATATCTTGCTTATTCACCTGATATTATTATATTTAATGAGATAAGGAATACAGCGTATGTTTTTACGTTATACGCCTTATTTAATGTTTTGTACAGAAATGTGACTGTTTGTTTTGTTTTTTTGGTAAACGGGAGATAACTGGATATACAATATATACATACATTGTCGGAAAATATATGATTTATTTTTTTTATCTTTCGAACTGGACAAAAACCGAGGCTTTGCGAGCTTTCTTCGGGTTTCGTAGCCAGTACAATTAAACTGTATATTTCCGAAAATGTACATATATATATATATATTATTTTTATCCTTGTATTTACACCCAGCACTTTAAGGTTTCGTTGTTTCAATCCAAATTAGTTGTCTCTGATTTTTTTTTAAAATTTCGACAAAGTTTAAACGAGGTCCGCGAAGAGAACCCAAAAATGAAATGCTATCCAAAAAGAAATATTCACATTATTGTTTGCTCAACATGGAATGTCGAATGTCGACCTGTAATTGTTTGTATATATGGATACATACACAACATCAGATCTATACAACACAAATATAGATGGCAATGGTTTACTCGGTACAGAATTATGGCTACTCTTGCACTTTACAATTCAATAGTAAACACATGCTAACGAGTTGTGTCAGTTAGACTTTAAAAAGTATATTATGCCAAGTCCACAAGCATTTTAGACGTTGAATTAGACACCACTTGAAAGGAAGATGCCATGATCAAATCCGTGCCAATGTATATCTCTTTAACGGTTAACATGTCATAACATATTCCAGCTCGCATTTTACTGACAAATGAGACCCTTTTGGTCAAAGGTTATAAAAGGGGTAAGTATTCAGCATTAAAAATATTTGTTTTCATGTAGAAACGATTACATATTATATATATATATATATTCGCTGCTGGAATGTTGCTACATAAAAATGAAAGGTTCACAATTGGGAAGCTGAAATCATCCCTTTTGTCGTAAAGTCTTGTTCGTTTCTTATTATAGAATAAAAAGTGATTGCAACTACGTCATTTAGTTTTTTTTTTTCTGACAAGATGTTAGGTATACAGTTTACATAACATATCTAGACAAATTGATATATAATATTGCATGGTCTTTTTACATATAAAAATATATGTTATTATTGCCAATGAGATAACTCTCCACAAGAGACCAATTGACATAGAAATTAACAACTATAGGCCACCGTACTGCCTTCAACAACGAACACAGTCCATTGTAGTCAGCTATAAAAGGCTCCGAAATGACAAATGTAGAAAAAGTCTAACGAGAAAACTAACGGCCTAATTTAAGTACAAATAATGATCGAAAAACAAATTTGTAAAACAGCACTCGATCCTCAAGCAATCGAGCCCTGTTGTATTATAAGAAACGAACAAAACAGCTCAAAATGCAAAATATTCAGGAATACTTAAAATAAGTTTGTCGTGGGTGATGGAGCACGTTTATCTGTCTATTATAAATCTGACATAATATTGGCAGGCGTACTTAAAAAATACATATTTAAGAAACAGCTGTCTGTTTATTTCATCAATTTAATAACCAGGAAAACTAGATACTGTATATTCATTTATATTGTTTGAAAAATAAAGTTTTGTTCGAAATGTAGGGCGTAACTACGATTTCAAATCCTCTACTAAAAGACCTAGCTAAATGTGCCACGACCGACAATATACAACTACACAAACTATTGAAAACTAGCTAAATATTTTCTGAGTTTATGAGTCTGTTATTAAACTCATCATGAATTCCAGGCTAAATAATGAATATGGTAGACATGCGTTTTGTCTACTAAAGACTCATTAGTGGCGCTCAAATAAAACAGTTAAAAAGACATAATAAAGTACAAAATATTGAACACTTTTAAATTTAAACGATAACAGTTGTAGTTAAATCATTTGGATGTGCTATAAAGTATAATTTGATAAGTTAATACAGTCCGGTGCATTCAGCGTGAATTGGTTCAAAAGCATTAAATGGCACATACAATAAAAAGTAAGAGAAAACAATCCGTTTGTTTTAATGATAAAATTCGTTATGAAAGTGTATTACAATGATAAAGTTTAGAACATATATGCGTGATTGTAATTACAATGCAAAGTTTAATTTTGCTTTGAATAATTTAGTATATATACATTAATAGTATTTGTATGTAAATTTGCTTTATATTTACAGGATGGAGAAAGATGTTCACTATGGATCAAAAATTCAAAACAGAGGACCTTTTTATTCAAACAAAAATACTTATACATGTATGATATTCTGTACATACAACAAGAAAACAGTAATCAAATGGAATGTCCAGTGATGTTAGCAAAATTATTTTTGTTAACAGAAAACAATAGGACTACAATATATTAAGGGTAAGTAATCCAAAATTGTCTGTTTAGGGTTACAAAAGTGGGTAATTGACAATGTGCTATGATTTCAATCCCCCAAATATGAAACAAAAACATAATATACATGGTATTTAAACAGTTTTCATAAGGAAACAGACTGAAAATATTCTGCATTTAACAGTCAGACATGGAAGTTGCCAATGGAATAAATTGGGACTAGAACTTAAAATTTAAAGGATATAGGCCAAGGAATCATTCAGACTTTAAGGCCAAATAGTATACTTTTAATAGTTTAAAGATTTTATTCTATTATCTATGCTGTATAAATGTTAATATTGTTTCATCTAGATTTAAAACCTAATTTCAAGAATGAAGGGTACAGTAATTTAAAATTAAAAAAGTATTTCAATGAATTTGTCCATTTTTTTCAGATAAGAGAATGACTTAAGCAGACTGTATTGGGGTCATAGATGGCCATAACAATGAAATACAATATATTATAATTATCATTCTTCATTACGTTTTGATTGAATTAACAAACTTAATTTAATAACAAAATATTTTCTTTTTTTCAGTACACAACACATCATGTCAGAAGAATAATTTTACTGGAGGATAAAAAATTTAATACCTGGAATCATCAGCAATTTACAAAATGTATATGAAATTTATTAAGAGAGATATATTCATGTACAGAATGGTAACCCAACCAAATAACCCAGGTGGTTCAAGTGATTATTAGCAGACATTTTTGTTGAACTAATGCAGGATTAAATAAATGAAGCTTACACAGACTATGGGCTCCAAAGTGTAGTAAAAAGAGGATTTTTAAATATGTGAGACCCATCAACATTAAAATGTGCATAAGTGAAATGTTACAATATTTAGTAAAAAATTCAGATTATTGACTCAGTTGTTTTCATGAATTTGTTTATCAAAGCAATATCACTGTTATATAATTAATAAGATTCAATATGTTTTATTTATACTTTTGACAACTGAATATATCTTCCCTCTGGCCTCAAGTGCATGTTTCCCTTTTATTTTGTATGAGTGTAATTTACAGAAAGCTCACTTCGCTTTTGGCGAATTCAAGTTTTGCCTTTCCAGAATTATTGGACTTTATTCATGAAAAATTAAACATTTACCCATATGTTGTTGAAGAACTCAATTTTGCTTTAATACTTTTTCAAGAAATTGTATCACAAGGCTAGATTTGATCAAATAATCTCACTTTTGAATATTTATCACATATCACATACTTAAATAATCTAGTATGCATAGATTGATTTCCTTCACTTTTGCCCTGTTGTTGAGATTGAGTGAAATAATTTAATTATTTTATCCCTTTCAATTTGGGGTGGGGATCTGTGTCCCATTGGGACCGACATTCAACACTGCATAACTATATCCTATCACAAGTTATGATACAGCCAACCATATAACATAGCCCCTGCCACTGAAAGGAGAAAAGAGGTGCACAACATACAAAAAAGTATTTCATATGGCTAGCTTAATCGTATCCTTTGAATATTTCATAGATTTTTAGCTCACCGTTCCTTTGGAACGGCTAGCTTTTGCCATCACTTGGCATCCATCGTCGTCCGTCTGGTGTAAACTATTTCAAACATCTTCTCCTCTGAAACTACTGAACCAATTCCAACCAAACTTAAGCTGAATGATGCTTAGGGTATCTAGAATAAAGTTTGTGTTTTATTTACTGTTTCGTCAAATAACATGGCCGCCATGGCTGAAAATAGAATATAGGGGTAAAATGCAGTTTTTGGCTTATATCTCAAAAACCAAAGCATTTAGAGCAAATCTGACAGTGATTAAAGTGTTCATTAGGTAAAGTTCTATCAGCCCTGAAATTTTCAGTTGAATCTGATAACCCATTGTTGGGTTGCTGCCACTAAATTGATAATTTTAAGGAAATTTTGCAGTTTTTGGTTATTATGTTGAATATTATTAATGATAAAGATAAACTGTGCACAGCAAAAATGTTCAGCAAGGTAAGATCTACAAATAAGTTCGTATGATCAAAATTTTCAATTGACCCCTTAAGGAGTTATTGCCCTTTAAGGACAATTTTACACAATTTGTTTATCATGTTTTAAAAAATCTTCTTCTCTGAAACTATTTCACCAATTCCAACCAAACGTAAGCTGAATGATTCTAAGGGTATCTAGAATAAAGTTTGTGTTTTATTTTCTGTTTCGTAAAAAAACATGGCCGCCATGGCTTAAAATAGAACGTTGGGGTAAAATGCAATTTTTGGCTTATATCTAAAAAACCAAAGCATTTAGAGCTAATCTGATGCGAGGTAATAATGTTTATTAGGCCAAGCTCTGTCAGCCCTGAAATTTTCAGATAAATCCAACAACCCATTGTTGGATTGCTGCCACTTATTTGGTAATTTTAAGGAAATTTTGCAGATTTTGTTTATTATCTTGAATATTATTAATGATAAAGATAAACTGTAGGTGTAACACCACTAATTCGGCCCGGCCAGAAAGCACATACCAGAAAGTAGTACATATTAAACACAAAATAGTTCCTACACATGAGTGTAACTTTCAAAATATGTAGAATATTTAGGTATTGTTGGTATCAAATGAAAGCTGAATGACTGGTGATCATTGTAGAACACTTTTTGACTTATAATTTTGAATATTAAAAAAACTGCACCAAATTTATAAAGAGGGTACTTTTTGCCTGTATGTCAGATCTGAAGTACCTGTTTTGGTACATCCGAAGTTCCGGGAACCAGTTCTTTCTTATATGCCATTAAAGGTATGTTGATTTTTCCAGTACAAGACACCATAAAGTGTTGCTTTGACATGCAATGAGTGTCACTTTATTTGAACTTGAAACAAAAGAGCTGTGTCTGCTTGAAATTGAGGAATTTAACATAGAAAGCAATGGGGCCATGAATTAGTGGTGTACTTCCTGTAAACAGCAAAAATATTCAGCAAAGGTAAGATCTACAAATAAGTTCGTATGACCAAAATTGTTAATTGTCCCCTTAAGGAGTTATTGCCCTTTAAAATCAATTTTTTCACAATTTGTTCATTTAGTTTGCTTACTTTAAAAAATCTTCTTCTTTGAAACTGCTGAATCAATTTCAGCCAAACTTGGGCTGAATGAGTTTCAGAGTATCTAGTATGAATTTTTATTTTATTTTCTTGTACATCAAGAAACATAGCCACTATGGCTAAAATGAAACATACGGGTAAAATGCATTTCTTTGATTTTTGAAGAAAATATGACAGATACAAAGAACATTTCAATGGAAGTTTTAAGCCATTCATTAATATATATTGAAAAGCAAAAATAATCATTGATGAAAGATTTAAGCAAAAAATTACAGGTGAGCGATTCAGGCTTTTGAGAGCCTCTTGTTTGTATGTGTAATTTTTTTTTGTAAGTAGTTATTTATTAAAGGTACTACAGTTCCCTTTCAGTTTGCCTGCTTAAGACTTGATTACAGTTCCGACAATATAAAGATAAGAAGTTGGGGGTATGATTGCCAATGAGACAACTCTCCACCAGATACCTTATGACGGAAATGTTAATAAATATATGTATAGGTCTCTGACAGCCTTCATCAATGAGCAGAACCAGTAACCCATAGTGAGCTACATGTATAAAAGGCCCCTAAATAACATGACACAATACAGGCTGAAAATGAATATTCTGCATCAGTGAGTATGCAAAAGTGAAAATATATTTAGAAAGAAAAGCATGTGTAGCAATGGATGCAAATAAAAAGTCAATACAGAAAAAAAATCCTACTACCTCACACGTTATGGCTTATGCAGTTTATTCACTAAATTGTCAACAAACTTTTACATATTTCATTCAACTAATTTACATTAAACCTGGGAACAGTATATCTGTCTACATATATATATGTTCGTGATTAAACAAGACAAAATAAAAGAAAAGAACAGGGCGAAAGGACCCAGAGCGAACAAGTACTAGTGCGAACAGACCAGGATTCCCTTCCCACCACCTAGCTAGAATAGCAAATGGTTCTCCCCCTATGCATAGATATATTAATACTAGTCTAATAGTCATTATACATGTATATCAATGCCCTAAGAAACTGCACATTGAATTTTTAAAAAGTAAAGTCATGAAGAATTTAAACCAACACTACAAACCAGAAATTAAGAATCATGAGCCCCTAAAAATGACACATGCCTCTGACAAAATTACCCCCCCCCCCCCCTTTTCAAAAAAGAAACAAAACAAAACACATAACGATAACTGTATTAACGAAAGGAAACTTATGAAGAAAAAAAAACGATAGCTTTTCTATGGCCTATTCAGGTTAGATGCTCATTACAAACTCATCGGCCGTTAACATACTAACAATATTCACGAAATAAATATGGATCAACGAAGTACGATATCAACAAATCAATCCCATGATGATGTAGGCCTATAACTGTTAGTTTACCAAGCTCGGCCTGTTTTGGTATAACTTTGATATGAATTCAACATATCGCATGACTTCCTTGGCATTCAGATAAACAAAATTGCTACAAAGAAGTAAAGAATCCAATTTTTTATGACATTTACGTTGACATTTTCGGCGCCGGAAATTGACAACGTTGGGCTATATACTGACAGAACATCGGTTGAGGTAGATTCCGGCAATTCTGCTTCAAAAATCTCTAGCAGTTAGAATTTATTGATGTCTTTAAATATATTTGTTGTGTTTCAATACATTTTAGTGGATAATTATTTTTGAGAGAACAATAGCTATCGCGTACTTCAGAAAACAGGTTTAGGGAGGACCACGCCCCCATTGTGGGAACATACAAAATAAAGATGACCGTTCTCCATTTCTACTCGATAGAAGTGCCTAATTTTTTCATAACATATACATTATGTATCAAAGATAATTATATGAAAGTATAAAAAAAATCGAGGCGGAGATTTTTTCGAAACAGCTAATAATTTTAGCAGACCAATTGACGTAATAGAAAAATAGACGAAAATGGCGCCTTATTCAATTTCGAAAAAAATCTATTATTTTACAATTTATTGACACATATTGTCATTTTTAAAGGGGTTAATATCTATTGATTAACTTTTCCATGAGAATTGAATGAATATTTACTTTAAAAACAGAAACTCTTTCAATTTCTAAACCTACTGACCATGCAAGGAAAAACCTATAAAAAATTGAGACCTCTACATTAAAATGGGAACAAATTTTTGCCCTGGCTTGAACACTCCTGTTCTAAACGAATTTCGATGCCAAAAACTAGCGAGAATATGATGTAAAAATATTTAGAAAATCGAAGGATAGGTATTTTTTTGTTCCCATTTTTAAAATAGCCATTTTATCCTACAGTGCAGAAAATCAATATCCGAAATTCTATGTTCAGATATAAAAAATGAGATTTCCTTTTATTTTAATGTTCAAAAATGAAAATAATATGTAAATTCATATATTTTTCTCATATAGATTTGCTTACAATCAACAATATTTATCGTCGGTACTTTGCCGCAAACGAACGAAAAAACATTACAAAAGCGCGCCATTTTTCAGTTGACGTCGGCCGACGCAAAATAGTCCAATTTTCGGCGTAGGACTACTGAGCGCCGCCGAATCACATTTTGGCCAAAAAGGCACATCCGGTTGTCCTACTGTAACTGATGAGTATTTGCATATGAAACGTGCATCTGTCGGGAAAAGCTGTTATTCTGGTATCTATGAAGAGTTCATTTAAGGAAAAGCTATGCGGGTTATTCAGCTGAGTACACCGCGTTTTTGATGTTATTTCTTCATAAACGTAAAAAAATATTACAGTCATTCCTTGTAATTTTTTAAGGAGTAAATCACGATAACACTTTGATGACGTCACTTTCACATGACAACATTATGTC